AATACGATCCATCAAAACGTAACGCATCGCTAACAAGATAGATGTGTTCTGGATTTTTTAAAAAATCAACAGGAATATTAGAGCTTTCCATTCAGGAAGTTTCCATTCAGGAAAACTTGATGAAAATGATGTTTTGGAGAATAATGTTGTTTTTAGTCTTTGTCTATTTTATGTGATCTTATAAACAAACACCCAGAAAAGGCTACAAAGAGTGGAAATAGGAGATAAAACTGTGATGTGAGAAACTTTTGTTTCTCCAAATCTGTTAGTTTTTACAACGTTTGGATCAACAAAATTAGACGACTTTTTAGACTCCTGTTCTTCCAACCCAGAAATGGAATTAGACCAGAGGATACTTATCTAGCAACCCTGAATAGGAGCATCTAGTTTACATACTTTGCATCAACATTAGACTCCTTTTCTTCTTTTGCTCTTTCCTTTGGTTTATTATTTTGTTTGTATTTCCTTTTAATTCCTGTAAAGCGCTTTGTATTGCCTTGTTGCTGAAAATGTGCCATAGAAATAAAATTACCTTTACCTTCAATGTTCCTGTTTCTTCACCCAGCTGAGGATGACTTCCCTGAGCCTGAACTGGACCTGCGTCGGTACGGGGAGGAAGACGACGTCCTGCCACCGATGCCGTCTCCGTCGCCTCCCCCTCGACCGTACACAGAACTGGACAGGAATGTTGTGAGTTTCCTCTACTTGAGGCAACGTTGGCTTTTCAGTCCTTTAAACCGGAAGGAGTGAAATGTAAAAGAAACGTTGTGAATGAGACTTTCAGTTTTCCTTCCGTGCAGGACATTCTCAACCACATCGTAACCGACGTCGAGATCTTCATGGGGAAAATATCCGCGGCCGAGGCCAAAAGTGGAAAGAAGAAAAAGAAAAAGAAAAAAGGAAAAGGTAGTTTTCAGTAAAAGCCCTCAGACTGACGTGTGTTCTCACATGCCCATGCATCACTGTGTGGCTTTTGATCCGTGTAGGAGGGGATGGGATGCCGCCCGAGGAGGAGTTTTCAGATTGCCTCCATAAAATCAAATCTGGCTTCAACCTTCTGGTGTGTGTCTCTGTTTGCACGATGTCGTGGTGCGAGTCCTCTTCCTGCTCTAACGGACGCTGGCGTTGTTTCGCAGGGAGAGCTCAACGGAAAGATCAACAATCCAGCCGCTCCCGACTTTGTCCACTCGTTGTTCTCTGCATTGGCATTCGTGAGTGACTTCGTATTTCTAAACTTTTCTGTTTTGTTTCATTTCTGTTTGATCCGGAAAAAGTTGCAATGCGATAATTCTGTCTTTCCTCGCCAGGTGTGCTCTCACTGCTCTGAAACCATCCCCCCGTCCATCGTCGCCCCGCTGCTCACGCCTCAGTGCATCCGTCTCCTGAGCGAGGAGGCGTCCTCGGAGGAGGACAACCTGTGGCAGTCTCTTGGAGACGCCTGGAACATCCCCAGGTTCCTGCTACGCCCAGCACACTGCCAGCCTATTATTGACAGGGATAATGCGATATCTCCTTCCAGCATAGCTGGGCTGTTGTAGCTGCCACTGGTGCAGAATCAATCCAACTGTGACCAATCCGATAATATCAATACTTAGTCTTACTTATGTTTTAATAACTTACCGTCTGGATAATTCATCAAATGATTATCTGACCACTTGGGGAGACTCATAGATGGTTGAAATATAATTTCCAGAAAGTTCTGTCATCCTTTAATAGGAATGTTAAAAAATGAAAAGACACGGCGATGTCGCAGAAAAGTAACTTTTTCAGTCGCGACGCAGCAGGATTCTGTGAATTTCACCCTATTCGCCTCCACTACACATGAATTTGTCACAATAGGAGTGAAGTTACTTTTTTTAAAGAATCGACAGAACTTGATGTTCTACAAATTCTCCTTCATTTTCACAAGCTGCTTTTAGTTTCCCATCAGACCAGCTGGGCGTTTTGCAGAACGAACAGTCTGTGAACTGTCGGGTCTAACCTTGAGGAAATGTGGGAGATTTTGAGGAACATCAAGTTTCACACTTTCTCAGTAAGTTCCTCACTTTTAATGTGCTCTGAAAGTTTAATGTGTAATGGATGAGTGGGATGTAGTTCACAGTGTTCTGCTGCATCAGGACTGGGTCTAACACTTTTTCCATCTTGTTTAATTTCACTTTTTATTTCATATGTTCAGATCAACTGTCCACCTGGGAATTACATTTTTCCTGCTCTATGGATTCCCCCAAGTGGTCAAATATTAATTATCTGAATTATTTAGACCACATGTGTCAAACTCAAGGCCCGCATCCCAAATCCGGACCGCCAAAACCGCTCTTAAGAGCCCTATAGACTCTTAAGAGCAACAGAAATATCAGTTTTGTGCTTAAACATTACTTTATTAGTCAAATCAAATCAAGTTTTATGTGTACGGAGCCAAATTATTTCAATGTTAAATATTTAATTTTTAGAAGTACTTCAATGAATGCAGAGAAAGTTATAATATTTTAGTTATTAATTACTTATATTAATACCGGTACATTCTTCCTAAACCGGCCCTTTGAAAATGAAAATGAGTTTGACAATAATGATTTAGACTATAACACATCCCTCACATTTCACTTTAACTTTTAACCATCTCAACTTTGAATTTATCTAGTGTCTGCACATCTTAATGTAATGTTACAGGATGTCATTATTGGATCACAGCTGCGGCAGTTTTTGTGCTGCAACTCTCTTCTGATCAAATTGTCTTGTTAGCATACTTGGCCCTCTGTCTACCGATGTCACTAAAGCAAAATGTAGAGCCAGACAGCTTTTCTGTATTTATACCCACTTCGTGGCTCGGTTTACCTGACGAGATGAAATGTTTCTGATGCTATCGCCAGTACCAAGTGGCCAGAGGAGGATGAGGACATCCCAGTCTACAACATGCAGTTTTTTGATGGTTGGCAGCCCCCAGAAGTGACTGGAGAGCTTCCCCCCAGCGAACCGGAGAGCCGGCGGGAGAGACCCCGGCAGGAGAGTCCCCGGCGGGAGAGTCCCCGGCGGGAGAGTCCCCGGCGGGAAAGTCCCCGGCCTCCACCGAGCCTGCAGCCGCCACCCAACACAGCTGGACACAAAGCACAGGAGGAGCCGGTCAGGTGGACTTTTAATCAACGATTCTTCCTTCTGCTCAAGAGAAATAGAGAAAAATAACATATTGTTTGCACTTTCTGCGCAGACTTATGCCAAGTGGAGGCCGCCAAAAGAACGACAAAAACCACCGTAAGTGCATAGGTTACACACTTCGTCGAGGTTTAAATCTCACAGCTCTGAGGTTTTCCTTCTCCCTGCGACTTCCAGGCCGGTCGAGGTGAAACTATGCGACATGCGCGTCAAATATGACTTCATATCCAGAAACCAAAGGGAGCTCACCGTCACTAAAGGAGAAATAGTCGATGTGAGTATCTGTTTTCCTCGTTCCCAAGAATGATGAGACTTTCAGAAGGAGACCAACCAATCTTCCATCTCTTCTGTTGGTTTTGTTCTCCTGCAGCTTCTGGACAAGTCAAAGAAGTGGTGGAAAGTGAGGAACAACAGAGGAGAGGAAGGTTACGTCCCCAACAACGTCCTGGAAGATGTTGACGCTCAGTCTTATGAGGTGGCTCCCGCTCAGAAAACATGAAATGATGGTGAAATGAAAACTGTCCACACACACAAAGAAAACATGCCTCTTCTATTTTCATGAAGGATTTTGACACGTCTCCGGTTCTAACGAGGAAATCTAAACCACCAGAGGTGAAAGCCTGGCTGGAGCACATGGGATTCAACCCGATGTGAGTGACAGCACACTGTAGCAAACACTGAGCTCTCTCAACATTCATGGGAGGAGCCTGAACTTGTGCAGAGGATGAAGCGCATCTCTTAAGACGGATGGCCACAGATTTTAGTCTGGGCTTTGACTGGACCATCCCAACATGTGATCTAAACCATTTATTAATATTTTTAGTCTTTTTGGAGCCTCAAACTGGTTTTATTCAAGTGTCTACCTGATTTCATCTCCTGCTGTACATCCACCAGATTTTCTTCCTCTGCAGAAGAAAAGCATCCCCTCAGCATAATGCTGCCACCTCCAGGCTTTATGGTGAAAATAGTGTATTCAGATGCAGCAAATTTTTAAAATTTTTGCTCCCCAATTTCGGTCTCGTACACCCAGAGCAGCTTTTTCCAAATGTTTGCCGTATTCCCAACACAGCTTGCGTCAAAGTCCACAGGGTCTCTTCATGCCGAGTTTGTGGCGACAACACGATGGACGTTAACGAAAAGTTTTACCAGGACATAAAACTTTTCGTTACAAACACCTGAAATGCCTCCCATGTTCTCTGCTGGTTAAACACACCAAGACGTTTGTTTCCTGCAGTGACTGTTTCTCTAATAAACCCTCTGAGGTTATGGCTCGGCTCGGTTACACATTAACTAACTCCAGCGTTGCTTTGACTGCAGCACGGTGCGCTGCCTGGGCGTCCTGAGCGGCTCCATGCTGCTGGGGATGAGCAGGGAGGAGCTGAAGTCGGTGTGTCCAGAGGAAGGAGGACGGGTCTTCTTCCAACTACAGGCGGTCAGATCCGCCTTGGTGGTAAGATTCTGATCTGTTCAACTAAAGATTCAGCCTCTGTCTTTCCTGCTGCTGTAGGCGCCAACAACTCATTCTCTCTTTAAACACCCAGGATGCAAGCTGAAGAATCATCACAGCTGGAAAATACAAGGAAACTGGACTAGATACTGGAAGCAAAAAGCAGAATATAGCAGATTTGCATCGACATGTAAAGATACTGTAGTCACTTTCTGAAATCAGCACTAACTCCTCATGTTGTTCTAAATGCTAAGCATGTTAAATATACCATTTATCCCAACTATTTTAAGTTGTAATCTCTATTAAAACATTATATTATAAACTGGATTACTGCAAATAATTGAAGTGTTTTGTTTGTAATCATTGTGTAACTTGCAAATTAAAGTAAAACTCTGGCACACCTGAGGTGAATTAACATGCTTTATTTATTTTTAATTCAGTTATCACAGACGTACCTCATCAGTAAGATTGCGGCAGACCGTCTCGAGCAATAATAAGGCTACAGATCGACAGGAGTCAAATTAGGCAGGATTTAAAACAAAAAGTGACACAGTTGTCAGAAAACAAGACCATTAGGAAAAAATACAATTTAGACAAAACAAAAACGTGACGGCAAGCAGCAAAAATAAGCCAAACGATGAAGGTTTTAACGTGGATAATAACTGCGCATTGTCTCTTTGTGCTTCACGTAAGTCACAGTGTTGAGGAGATTATATATCATGAAGCTTTACTCTCCATTTACAGGGGCAAATATATTATTACTACTAATAATAATATCTCAAGAATTGCAGAAACCAGTATTTGTCCACAGCCAGTTACACCAGCCGTTCTGACCCAATTCTCAGTGAATCAAAGGCCAAAATATTCTTTTAGTTTTTCATCCTGTGGATAATATCGGCTACCAATGAAAGCACAAATATACGGTTTGTGTTTGTGAGGTAGTATGGACATGATGCAGACAGTAAGCAGGGTCAGAGATCAGTGGGCGGAAACTAAAAGTGGAAACAGTCGGGTCGGTCCGGGTCGCAGCGCCGGCCACATTTACTGGCACCCCTGATAACGACTATAAGAATCTCTTTAAAATAAATCTAAATAAGGCATTTGTTTGATTTATACTTTCAAAGTTTCTGTGAAAATGAATTTGAATTGAACCTATGACTTTATTTCCCTGAATCCCATCTATGACTTGACACAAAGGTTGATTTCTCTCTGTGATGGATCAGAACCCGCATCGATCCCGTTATGAAAAAAACGCTCCACAGTTCACTGAGGGAGAACTGCAGCATTAGGAAGCATTTCATGACAAAAACGTAAACACGTAAACATGTTGAGCTGGGACTTCAGATGGGTTTGGTGCAACAAAGAAACAGTACATGGAAAATCACCTCACACCCACTGTTCGGTTCGGAGGAGGATCTGTGATGCTGTGGGCCTGTTTTTGAATACTTTATTCTCTATTTGCTCTCTGAAATATCAGGAAATCTGTAAGAATAATCTGGTGGATGCTACCAGAAAGGTGGAAATGGGTGTTCATCGGGTGTTTCTGCAGGATAACGAGTCAATCAAACAGTTCATCAGCTTCTGGAATGAAATCATAAAGAAAACCTTTTTGGGGTGAGCTAAAAAAAAAAAAAAAGGTATAAACCGTTCCATTTAAAAGCAATGGTCAAACATCCCTCTCTCTGTCGACTGCAGTTTGGTAAATTGTTACAAAGTGACCATGATGACAAGAGGAGTTGCAGTAAAACCTGAGTTTTTCTCCCCCCCCCAATGAATAAATGCTTTAAAATTAAACTATTATTTTTCAGGGTGAGATCCTGCAATAAAATACGAACTAGTCCTTACACATCCTTACCGAAGGTGTCAATAAATATGGCCGACGCTGAACAAGAACAAAATGAACTCCTAATTTTAAAAGGCAAACAAAAAATCTTCACAAAGTATAAAACTCAGGCGCTATTAAACATCGAAACGTTTTGAGTAAAAGGCAGAAATGCACAACAAAAAACAAACAAAAAAATATATATATTTGCACCAAACAATATCAGGAATACTTAACTCGGCTAATCTTATGCATAATTATATTCGTGCTTTGGTGTCTTACTGGCTACTTTAAAAAGAGGCGACACCATTCATCATCAGTAAAACACAACATGTATATATTGGTGGGTAATTTGCTTCCACAATACTAAACGAGCAGAGTGGGCACTAAAATACTGGTTCATTATTTAATATTAAAAACAAACGGACTCAAAATCTAGAGTTTTCCTCAATATACTGAGAATTACAAAATGGTCTTACTTCCATTTCAGCTTTAAAAAACATAATTGAATTCTAACAATCACATAAAGTCCTCTGAGATCATCCTTCATTAGTCGGAAACTGCTGTAGTCGGACCAAATGGTTTCTCTTCTTCTTCATCTATAAAGGACACACACACACACACACACACACACACACACACACACAGCTCTGCAAACTCTACAGACATTTTCCGATTACTTTTCGCTTGACCCAAAATCTCAGTGTTTGACGAGAGCTGGGATCGTGTGGAGTGACAGAAAGAAACCGTTACTGGAAATGACGCTACAGAACCGTGCAGCAGCCTCCACCGTGTCCTAGCACGGTTTGCTGGTTTTCCACCATGCAGAAGTTTGGATCGGGGGTTAGCGTCGCTTTCCGTGACGGTCGGATGTAAACAGGTCGTTCTCTCCTCACGTACATCAGTCATGCGGGCATGCAGGAGAGTATTTGTTTAGCTGAAGTAGACAGGAAGATGAGAACCTTCAGGCTGGGTTTCAGCTCCAACAGCCGGCCTGGTGTGGCGATTCACAAAGAAGACGGAGGAAAGGAAAAACTGGACATGCACTGCATCTAGGTAGTAATGGAAAGGCACGGTGAGGGTTTTATTTTGGTGCTTATGAAGAACTTAGAGCATGCAAAGAACTAAATAGATGCAATCCAACCACGCAGTGAGCATTCATCCACATTTCTTTGTGCTCGTTATAGCTCTGCTACCATAAAACATAACAAATGAGCAAACTCTCTTTTCGTTTAGGAATGTTTCTTTCTTGCGTTTTACTTTTAGAGCTTATTTGAATCCCAGAAGACCGACTATGAAAGTCCAACTTGGCAAACGATGGATTCTAAACTAACAAGTAGGATCGCACACGAAGCTTTTGTCGAAGTCAGCTGCTCTGCAAGGTGTGACCAACCCGACGCAATGATCCCAGTTTGAAGTTATGGCTACTCTGCATCTATAATCAGAGATCACAGTTTACCAGAGAGCAACAGACACAAAGCTAAATGTCTAAAAAAAATAAAATAAAATAAAAAATTTGGGAAACTTGTTGAAATGCATGATTAGATTTTCAATAATAAAAACAACGGCAGCACTGAAACCATGGCTGATTCGTAGCTACACAGCGATAGCAGCATAGCAGACTTCTACAGTGGTGTGTAAAGAGCAGCAGGTTTTTCTCTCACATCACGTTTTCAGGGGCATGCTGAGAGGGCCGCAGACTCAGGGGGGGACTAACAGAGAGAGACGGGACAGGGGGGTGGAGCCTGACATCTCAGCGTCCTCCAGAGACGGGGCCCATGGTGAGCGTGTCCTCCTCGTCGATGCCGTCCAGCTTGTCTGTGCGCACGGCGTGGGTGATGAGGTTAAGCTCCTCGGTGAGCGTCTCGAAGCGGTACGCCACACGGATGTCGGGGACGTTGGTGCGCCGGATGTCGTTGCTCTCAGGACCTTCTCTGTAGTAACTGGGGCCAAGCCAGTAGCTCTTCACCTGTGGTTTGAAAATAAATTTAATTGGGAATGTTTGGAGCACAAAGAGTTTTGCGTGTGGGTCAATTTTGGTCTCGTGTGACCAAAAGACCTTCCTGTGTTTGCTGTGTCCCCTGCGTGGCTTGTTGCAAACTGCAAACAGGGACTTCTTAGGGCAGATTTGAGGAGGATAAAACTAATAGTTGTCCTGTTAAAAAAAAATGCTCTCTTTTAAGCTGTGGATCTCTGCAGCTCCTCCAGAGATACCGTGTTTTTGAGATACTGTTTTATAACACAAATTTGCTTTAACCTTTTCCACTGTTTCATCTGTGACCTTGTGTTGAGTTCTTCTGCCTTCATGATGCTGTTTAGTCACTAATGTTCTTCACAGAACAGCCGCATTTATACTGAGATGAAACAACACATAGCTGGACTCTGTGTACCAGTCAGGTGATTGAAGTTATTATCTTTGGACCTAAAGAGGAATGCTACAGTGAGCGTGCAGCTTCAGTTATTACAACTAAAAAAAATAAAAAATCAGGCCAGAAATCTAGTGATGGACTCTGACCTGAACTATCAGAGCCACATGAAGACGGTTACAAAGTCAGTCTTCTATCACCTGGAGAACATCTCCAGGATTAGAGGGATAATGTCTCGGTGAGATCTAGAGAAACTCATTCGTTTATCTTTAACAGGGCTACATTAAAAAAAAAAAATAAAAAAAAATCAATCCTCCAGCTGCAGCTGATCCACAAAGTTGCTGCTCAAGTTCTGACCAAAACCAGGAAGACAGAGCACAGAATAAACTATAAAACACTCTTGTTAGTTTATAAATCACTCGATTATCTTAGTACCAAAATTACAGCTAACCTGTTGTCTTTAACTAAACTTTGAGAAGCAGCATTCAGTTTTTATAATCCACTAATCTGGAAGGAATTTCCAGAAAACTGCAAAATAGTCTAAATACTGTCAAGGCTAAAGACTCACCAGTTTAAAGTCGCCTTTGATTCCTGGTAACGGCACTGTATTTGATAAACATTTGCTTGACGATTTTGATAATGGTTTTTTGACAAACTGTAATGTTTATTGCCCGTTTTATAATTGCTGTGTTTTGGTTTTATGGTGTAAAGCACTTTGAACGGTCTTGTTGCTGAAATGTGCCTTGCAAGTAAACCTGATCTTAGTACATCGTGGCACTGAATTTTCTTTGGGTCATCAGAGAAAAGTCTCTTTCCTTTCGCTTCACAACGCTGAATAACTCGTTCTTTCTCCTAAAGCTCCAATAAAACACAATGAAGTTTGTGGTTTAAATATGTGAAAAGGCTGAAAGAGTGTCTGTACTTCGCAGAGGCGCTCTAACCTGTAAACCACTCCCTCATGCATGATCATTTCTGACACTAAAAACAAAATAAAAAATACCACCTGGTAAAACTGCACCACACCTAGCCAAACGATGCACCAGATAAACGCTTTATTACCCTCAACAGGCGAATGATAAATGACGTCACCTTGTGTGAAAATCCACTCATCAGGACGCTGTTTCTCGCCAGCTCACACATGTCACAGGAGCTCAGTTTCCACACTTGAGCTGCGATGCTGTACTCTTCCATCAGAGGCTCCTGATGCAGAAATCATCACATATTTTGCATCCACGCAACAGGAATAAAAAGTTTAGTTTTCCCTTTTAATTGTGAGGCTGTGACATTTGTGTTGTCCAAACAGACCTTGGTGAAGTGAAACTGGAGGGGATCATCGGTGGACAGAGAGACAATGAGGCCTCTGGACAGATACTCCATCAGCGGGTTGCGGTGGTAACTAAGGAACAGGCTGTTGTTGCTCAGCGGCGACATGGCGATGCCAACTTGAGCCAGGTAGTACAGGTACTGCAGCACAGGGGCCTGGAAAAGGAAGGAAGAGTGAGACAAAGAGGGTGAAGTACAGCTGCATGCTGGTAAAAGTGACCTTTTGTGACCCTCAGGAACGTTGATGGGTCACTGCATCTTAGTAAACGTACTTCATTTTAATTTGTCCCACATACAAACTAAGATTTATAAAATCAATCTTTTTTAAACTCTTCAGCTCTTCCCCATTTTACAGTACAGGAGAAAATAAAAAAGCTGATTTATAGCCATCATAGACCCAAGTTCAAGTTTTATTCAACCAACAGGTTTGTTTCTGATAAAAGGTGAGATATTTATCTCTGAAAAGGAAATAAAATGATTTAAAAGAGGCATGAATTAAAAAAAAATTCACACTAAATTAAAAGTATGTTTAAAGATCCTTTTATTATGGGACACTTAGTTGTTTTGTCTCTTTAGACAGATGGACTTGGCGTTGGATATGTCTGAAGAGACATAAAATAACCGAATGTCTAATAAAACCATATTTAAGATGGAATCACAAAAGGACACAATGATACATGAATTAAAGTTGCGTTTAAAATCATTCATACCTCTCTCATTAATCACTTTTATTTGGACTAAAGCAATAAAATCTCTCTTATAATTATTTTTTAGCTTTTTACATTTTTCTTCTGCCTTTGCGGATGGAAGTGCTTAGCTCTTTATTAGCACAATTATTTGTTCTTAAGTTTCTGCTTTCACCACATTTGTTGCAAATCCCAACAAAAGACACTAAACCTGTGCCAAGCTTTCCAAACGACCTGCTGAATATCTTTTCAGTTTGTCAAAATCCATCCTGAAAGGCTATTTTTCATTGCAGCCCTTATGAGAGCCGTCCTGACCTTTCTGAGCAGCAGACCGTGGGAAATATTCTCTGACAACATGAACCCTGACACCAGGTGGTGGATCGGGCCCGCCTCGCCACAGTGAGGTCGCAGAACGAACGTATGAAAGCCTCGTCGTCTGAGTTGAACACAAAGGGAAACTCACAGGTCAGAGAATAATGAATGAATGAATGATTAAAAGTAACGATGCCATGTTGCTACCTTCGCAGGTGGTTCAGCACAGTCATGTTGGCGTAGGTGTAGTAAAGGTAGTAGGAGTAGGGTGGGTTGTCCTCGTCTGTCCAGTCGACAGGAAGTGGACTGTCCAGGTTAAAAATGTGGTGCTCAGGCTTGGACTCGTCGTCTACGCTGTCGAAACCAACAACCTGCCAGCATGCAAAAAAGCAAACATTCATTTCACTCTGATGTTGGTCATCAGGAGAGTTCAGACCAACCAGCAGGTCAGACTCACGTGCTCCAGGAAGAGATGCAGCTCAGGGTGGCTGGCCGGATCGATGGTCACTTCAAACAGAGGCATGAAAATGTTCTCCAACATCTCCTGGAAGTTGGCCAGCTGCTTCTTTGTGTGGTAGACGTCACTAAAAAAAAAAACAAAGAAAGTTACATTTATTTTAGAGATGGAAAAACACCATAAAACATAATTAAATCACAATTTGTCCATTCATTGTTTTTTTTGTTTGTTTTTTTACTATTTTGTGCTGCTGAATCAGCACAAAAAATGACAAAGTTTTCTAAATAAGGTCATATTTTTATACGAAATTGTTTTAGAGAAATATATTCTGACTAATTCAATTTTTCTGACATTATTAGCTCATTTCTGTTAATATTTATCATCCAAAAAAGGTTTAAGAGAAAAGAGTTGTTTTCCAACAGGGTGTATTAATGAAATGTGACCTGACTGAGGAAAACCAATGTGATTTTTGGATTCAGCACATCATAATTACCCTAAAACATTTGCAAAACCCCAGACAATTTTTTGGTTGTTGACTAGTGTCATTCACTGCTGCTATGGCTTACAAAGCAGTTGGATAATTTACTAGTCAAACCCATGAAGAAGTCACAACGTCTGACTGAAAGCTGCCAAACATTTTGTGTTTTTGATTTAGTTTTTGTCTCACACTCCATGGTGTCCTCAGAGTGTTTTAACTCTGTCCGTTGGTCGACAGTCTGATGTATTCGCTTCCCTGATTTTTAACGAGCAGAAGGAATTATTTCCATCTCAATTTCAAGGTAAAACAAAATGTCAGCAGCTCTTACAAGAGACGGGGCACCTGGATAAGCCAGCGCACGTTATCGGAGTACACTCTGTGGTTGACAGCCCACTCCGCCAGCTTGTCCCACTCGTCTCTGCAGCGACCGTAGATGGACAGCCGCAGCTCGGAGTTCTGGTATTTACTCTCCTCCAAGTCATACATCACCTCCTGTAAGAAAAATAAAGACAGCAGCTTTAAGTGCGAGTTGAGGACTGATATTGTTCGACTGGACAGTTTGTAGCTGAATTAATCAGCACCTTAACTATGTGTGCAAAGTATTTTCCTTCCACATGATTGTCCGTCTTGATGAAGATCTCCCTCAGGATGGACTCTCCAATCGGGTTGTATTTGGAGTTGAATTTGTCAAACCTATGAAATGTGTTCCGATCCTGTCAAAGCAGAGAAACGTGAAAAAACAAGTTTTATTAGTAGTAAAGAAGTCACACTGAGTTAGTTTCCACCTCCCATCACATTGTGAAAACTCACTGCGTGCATGTCGAGTGTGTCTACACTCAGGTCGTACGCTGTCAGGTTCATGGTCTCAAAAACGTCTCGCAGGGTCTGACCGCGTCCCCGCTCGACGTGGACGATCTCGTCGGGGTATTTCTTCATGGCTCGCTTGATGAATCGCAGAAGATGCTTCTGGTTCATGCAGGATGACGCGTGTATGTGAGTGTCCACCTGGAGACAAGATGAAGAGCAACACTGACTTTATTTCAATTTACTTAGCACCAGTTCATAACAAATGTCAGCTCAAGGAACTTTACATGACAACTGCATCCAAGTAATACACAGAAATATAGAATAAGACGAATCTAATAACATAGACAGATTCAAACTGAGTTATAGACTTTCTAATTCGATCTTTGGTGTAAAACAGTGCAGATTAAAAGTTATCAAAGAAAGATTTCACTCAAATCCTTCTCCTCAGCAAGCATGTGGCAACAGTGAGAAGGAAAATCTCTTTCTCACAAGGATATGTTTATTTTTGAACAATAAAAACTGGGCTGGACTTTATAATTTACGTTCATATTTCTCACAGAGATCCATTTATATCAATACTAGAGAAGTAGAGAGATGTTTTTGCCTTTCTGATGTTGTAGAAATCTCTGTGAGGAACCTTCTTCTGCGCTGCCAGCTCCTTCATCTCATTCAGCAGGATGTGCATCTGAAATTTGGAGCTCAGGTACTGCAGGCGGCGGTAGCAAAAAGATTTCCTGGAAACAGCACACAGAAGAGACAAGTTTCATTCGAGCTGCATAAAAGAAACACTGCAAATCAACTGGTTTATCGTTTAAAGTAACACTCACACTGGACCGTTGATAATGAGGGACATCATGACGTTCATGTCTGCGATGTACTCCTTCAGGTCAGGATACGGCAGGTCGAGTTCTGTGCTTCTAAAAGAGAAAAACAACTTCAAGTTAGGGTTTCTCCAGCATTCACATAGCTCTTACTCCTAGCTTATGTTTTTAATATTGTTTTAATTAGAAAGGTTTCAGCAAATTTCATACATTTAATGACTCAAATTTCTACACTCTCAGGTAGTTCTTTATAATATTCTGGAAATATGGGAACAAACCATTAGTATTGTTTGGCTTTGTTATTTATCCCAAATAAATATTGTAGCAAAATAGTTCTGAAGTTGAAATCAAATTCAGCAAAAGCTCTATTTTAAAATTTAAAACCCACCTAAGACTTTTCAAATCCCACAATAAAAACTGATTCTTTAAATCACAACTTGAGATCTGTGTGATATATAT